AGTTACAGTGAGTAACTACCCGCCTGGCACTTAGTTAGGGGGTTTTATTCCCTCCCTAACTTCAGGGAAAAATCCCTACCTGGGGAAACAACCTTTCTCAGAGAGGTGACCTTGGTTAAAACACATAGCGCCAAGAAGGTGAGCAAACATATTAAGAACAGTATGCCATATATGCCCTTGAAACATACGCTGTGCAGATGTTTCTTCCCTGCAGCGACTGTGTCAAGCAGCAAGGATGGACCGGCTCCCAGCAGACACTCTAAGAGTTGCTCCTCCTGAGCAAGAACACAGCGAGCCCATTCTATTTTCAGATGAAACCCCTGAGCAAGAAGGTCTTCTGTGTCTTCTGGAAGAGCACTGGGGAGGACAGCCACTGGTCCAGGGACGGCTGCTTCCTGGTACAGGTGAACAAGAGTCATACCACATGCAGATGCACTCACTTGTCCAGTTTCGCTGTCCTCATGGCCTTCACCAGCCAGGTATGATAAGCATTTAATTCCTCTACCTAATCCTTGAGCTCCTACTAGGTAGCGATGAGTGCTATAAAGAAAATGAAAACAAGCGAGAGACTGGAGTGACTGGAGAGGTGTGCCACTTTAGATAGAATGGTCAGAGGATTAAATATGAGCCAAATCTGATTATTAAGAATTAGTAGAACTGTGATGTGGATAAACCTTGAAAACATGATGCTGAGTGAGAGAAACCAGACACAAAGGACCATATATTGTAGGATTCCATGTATATGAAATGTCCAAAATAGGCAAACCCATAGTGACAGAAAACAGATTTGTAGTTGCCAGGGGCTGGGAGGAGGACTGAATAAGAGTAACTGTTTATGGGCATGGGGTTTTATTTGAGAGGTGATGAAAATATTTTGGAATTACGTAGAGGTAGTGGTTGCACAACACTGAACGTGCTAAATGCTACTGAACTGTACTCTGTAAAATGGTGACTTTTATAATATTTGGATTTTACCTCAATTTTTAAAAAGCCAGTAGGAAAGGGTCTCAGGAAGAGCATCTGAAGAAGAGATAAAGTATGGTCAAGACTCTGAAGAGAGAACAAATTTGGTGTGTTCCAGAGAGAAGTGTGGCTGGAGCAGAATGAATGAGAGGGGTTGGAAAGGGGCAAGGTTGGAGAGATGGAAGCCGGAGAAATGTGCCAGATCTTGAATGCCAAATTCAGTTTTCTTCCAAATTGCAATGGGAAGGCAATGGAGGTTTTCCATCATGGATGTTACATATTTATGTCATTAGAAGATCCCTTTGACTCTCAGGTCAAGAATGAGCAGTGGTCAAGAGTAGACTCGAAAAGCAATGATGGTGGCTGGGGTTCAGGTGGTAGAGATGGTAGGAGAAGGTCAGACTGGACACATATCCTAGAGGTGGGGTTGGAGAACTTACTGATGACATAGGCTGGGTGACAGCATACAGGAGGTCCTGCATCCCTCTCTTTTCAGGGTTGGAGGTGGTGCCCCAGAACAACACTCAGTGGAAATCTCTAACTTCCCCTATTACACAGGGCAGTAGGAAAGCTAACATTCTCCTATATAACAAAAGGGTAATATGCAAATTGACCGAATGGTGGAATGACTGGTCGCTATAGCGCACACATGTTATATATCAATTGTCTCTCAGTAAAGCTGGAAAGTTAATCTAATTTTGACTCTCAACCACTGAGCTCAACCACAGGGGGAGCACTGCTCAGTCACAAGCTGGGCTGACAGCTGGCAAGCACAGCAGCCTGCCTCTGCAGCAGCACTAAGGATGTCCAACATCCATTAGTCAGACATCCCCTGAAGGAGGGCTCCCGGACTGAGACGAAAGGGTGCAGGCCTGGCTGAGGGACCACCCGCCTTCCCATCCCCGGGCCTCTAGTATGTTTATAAACATGAAAATACTTCATTCATTCATTGTTACATTTATGAAGTTTATCTATGGGTTGAGCATAGCCTTAGTTTTTTCATTTTCGTTGCTGTATAATATTCCCTTGCATGACTATACTACAATGTACTTATTCACTCTACAGTTACTGAGTATCGAGGTTGTTTCCTGTCAGGAGCTATTAAAAGCAGTGCTACCTTTCTAGGATGAAGCACAGCCAGTTCCATGTGGGACCCTCCATGGTGCTAAGGGTGCAACACACTCCAGATGATGGAGCCTCTGTTATGAGTGTCTGAGTGATTCTGTAGAGCAGAGTATTGTTCCATCTATATAAAGTTGAAAAATAGATACAACTAAATTGTATTCTCAGGGGTTGAATACTTAAGTGGTAAAATTTACCAAAAAAGGATCATGGCTACCTCTAGGGGAGAAGGTGGTTTGCAATTAGAAAGAACTTCTGGGTTAATGTCAACAGGCTAGTTCATGATCAGTGTTTATTTAATAATTATTCATCATATGATAGATTGGCTTTTGTGCTTTTTGCTTTTTTAAAAGTGTATCTTTATTATTGAAAGTATTATAGATGTCTCCTATTTTTTCCATTAACTTTTTCCAGCCTGCCCCCACCCCTCACCCCATATGTGTTATATTTCACAATTTTGAGGTTAAAAAAACAAATGATTGAAATGTCCTATAAACGTGACATTGAAAAAAGCAAAAATCCCCGTATAATTATAAGGGATGGTGAGTATCATTTCCCCGAAGTGAGTCTGGCTAAGTCTGTATGGCTTGTCAGATCCCTGGCCCCTGTCTTCAATGAGATGAGTCCCCAAGAGCATAAGTCAATAGGGTGTCTTCGTTTGAGGCCTCCCACCAGCAGGTCCTGGGAAAAGAATTTGAGGGAAAGTAGTTTCTCTGGGAGGTGAGTCCAGGAA